TGACTGGGTCACTTGAACGAGTTAAACTATCAAGTGCTTTAAAGAATATTTAAAACATTATTGTTTCAATTCCTTTCCCACTCAGCTGTAAAGGGGCCTCTAGATTACTGTATTGTCAATGGGATTTGGAGAATAGCAGCCAGAACTAACATGAAACTGAACAATAGCAACATTGTGCTCCTTCTCAAGAAAAAAAGTAAAATGCAGCCTATGGTAAAACTTCAGGCTGCTACATGAGAACTAACTCTTTTCATAAGATTCTTCTGAATGCTTTCTTTTTAAAAAAATATCAAATCTTCATGTTAAAATTTTAAAATTGCTCCCTTGTTCAAAACTAAGTTAAGCTTGAAAAAATTCTTTTTACTTGAACTATTAAAAGCAGTTTATTGACTTGACTAGAAGTATGTGACTGAAGGAGAACGATATGAGCAATTGCCCCTGACAAAATTGCCTAATTATTACGTATTCCAGAAAATGCTTTAATACCACTAAAATAATGCTGTCAGTACACAGCAGAAATATATTAGTTATTCAGTGAGTTTGGTTGCATTTTTTTAGATTTCAGAGCAAACAAATAGTAAGGAAGATGGTTCTTCAGCAGGCAAGAGTTACAAATAAAGTGGAAAAAAAGAGGTATGCAGACAAAATCAGAATTATCCACAGGGCTGCAGCTCTCAGCTGTCCTAATGTGAACAGAGAGAAGTTACACTCGAAGTTTTTTTAAAAAGTAAGCAAGTCCAAATGAATGGATTCCAAATGAAGGCAATAGACACCTGAACTCGTTAGAGGCCATTGAGCATTCTCCAAATGAAGAGACTTGGTTGAATCTTCATCAGGGGAAAGCACTTCCAGCAAGATATTTGTTCTTGCTTGTACTTCACACATTTCCTGGCTCTTGGTTTCCCACATGAAACACACTGTCAGCTTGCAGGGCAGGACCACAAACAACTGCTGCAAGTAAAACCATACGATGTTTGTTCACTTGCCTGTGACAGAAAAAGTAGCCCCTGGGTGAAACTGCATTTTCTTTTGTCCATTGACACTGGAGTGTCTGGACTGAAAGTGAAAAGGGACATACAACCTCTGTGAAACATCCTGAAAGAAAACAAAATACGAGAATCTGTTTAGTAAAATCTTACACAAAGGCAAACGGAGTATCTAGAACTGCTAAGAGTCACTGAACAGTGAAGGGTTGTTTCAGGACAGTTTGTAACTGAGAAAGTTATTCTACTAGTGCAGTCACTGGGCCTTAGAAGAACTGCTAAACTGAAATTTATTCAAAGAAATATTTCATACTTTGAAAATTTTTGCTTACCAGCAGCTATATTTTAGTGTACTGATTCTTGCTAAGACTTGGAAATATTTTTAGATTAGAATAACTAGCCTCAGAATCTTAATAAAATACATAATTTGTCCATTGACACTCACCAGAGAATGACCTGGTGTATTTATTCATTTGCAGCAAGATCCTAGAAAACAAAGTAACTGTTAAAGAATTTTTAACTTATTACTGCTGTGGCTCTTCTGTAAACTACAGTTTTTCTTTCCTAGTTCTAACTCAAACATATCTGAGAACTAGTTCAAAATATTTGAAGGCTGAGATCCTGATGTCAGTAGCACCTCCGTACCAAAACCATGCTTTTAGATTTCAGAGCAAACAAATAGTAAGGAAGATGGTGCTCAGATGAGCTTCCAAACAATGGGTGTATCAATAGAATAAAAGTCTGAATTCAGCAGTTCTTTTTGAATGAATGCTGCAGCTGAAAATGTCCTTGGACATGACCAATGTTACTCTGACTGTTCATTGCTTCTACATAAAAAGAGACGGTAAACATAGGTATTTGCAACAAGCCATGTGAGATACCAGAATCGGTCTTGTATTAGGGCAACGTGACACCCTACAGACCATGTCCTGTCTTTTGGATACTAACGGGCAACCCCAAAAAGTAGGTAAGACATCCAATTTACCAAGACTTTATATTATCTCTTGTAGATACAAATGTTGTTTTAAACAGGACAGGTAAGACAAGTAACATTCCACACAAATGATTCATGTACCAAACACACAATAAGCTGAGAAAAAGAATTTATTCTATGAATGAAACATCTGGGCCCCGAATATCTGTAAACAGTTCAAACTTGAGATGAAATTTAAACACATTGTCCAAGGTCACTGGAATGTAAATCAAAGTTACAAAGAATCTTGCAGTTCACATTTGTCTAAAACTTGTCCTTCCATACAAAATCTAAAACGTTCAGAAAAATTCAAATAAAACAAGCTAGAACATTTCCAACAAACATAACATTCAGTTTCCAGAATGATTAGGCTGATATCTAACCTACATGCAGTCAGGGAGTCCACATATATGAAATGGTATGTAAATGTATTACCCATACTGTACCTCACTCGACTAACTGTATATGTATATACAGAGGGAGTCCAAAGATTGATCCACCAAAATACATGTTCTAGTGAAAATATTTTGATATGAAATATTTTTTTTCATACTACATTGAAATCAAACATGCTTATTCTGGTTTAAAGTATTCCTTTGGGTTTGGTTTAAAGAAAGAAAAGCCACTTTCAAAGCAAACATTTCTAATCCGGAATTCATTCCAAAGTAATGAGAAAATAATATTTCAGTATTTTTAATGACTTTCTATTTCCAAGTTAATTTAGAGGAAAGGAAGAGGTATGATTGTTTTCTCATAAACTTTCGCGTATACAAAAATAAAGTGCACAACTTGAGGTGAAAAATTCAGATCTATGAAAAATGGTTTTGATGACACTTCGTTGATAGCAAGTCTGAACTGGCTCTTTGAAGATATATTTTTCTACTACAAATATGAGATCCACCTAAATGTATTTTGTTTCTCTAAACAGCCACATTCATAATATAAACACATGTAAACGGGTAGTATGAACCTAGAATTATGGGCACACATTTACAGATTGAGAGCATCTCTAGTAAAATTAGTTGGTAGGGATTCACATTATTGTTTCTGAGAGCAAATCTGACTCATTCATTATTACTGGCCTGCTCACTGAATATTTAATTGGCCTATTAGAAACGACTTTAAAACATTATGGGAGGTAATGGTATTTTCTTAATTGCTACTTTCATTCACTTTACATGTGTGGACATTTTTTAACAAGCTATTTTAATTCTACCTATAATGGGATAAACTCTACCCCATCTACAAACTCGTATCTCTGGTGTAACTTGCAGCTGACAGAACAAAGTTTGGTGCAGCACATTCACCACAGAATTTAGCTGTTGTATTCCATTAGGGACTATCACGATATCAGCACGATAGCAATGGGGCTTTACTGAGTTCATTTTTAATGAGATTTATGAGTTCATTGTTTATACCAAGAATGCTGATTTTAACAGTTAAGTCATCCATGGTTCATACATGTAGTTCTGCTTAGTGAGGAAAGCATTAAAGTCGATCACTTGTACAATATTTTTAAAGCTGTACAGTACTACACATCTTAATCTCAGAAGTTTAGGGAGCTGCCTCAAAGTAAGCAAACAAAGTGGAATTCATCTCTGCTTTTACTAGAAAATTACATCTGTGAAATGTCTGATTCGATGCTTATCTTTGAGTAGCTGCTTCTGACAGAGGTCGTTGTATGGTTTCTAATGTTTTAAAACTTCAGACAGGACTGAGCTCGTAGTTAAATGAAGAGATCACAAGGAAGAAATGTTAAGGAAGAGACTTCTTAACCTACATAGGCGAGGGGAGAAGAAAGTAGCCACCATGTACCCCTGCTTGAAGCAGGACAGGTTTCTCTGACACAGAAAATGCAAAAGGCAATCAACTTAAGCAATTTCCTAGTGCCTTTCATCTAAACACCATATAATACTAAATAAACATTAATGAATTAAGCTGCCTAACCTATCTACAAAGTAAGTACAGTAAAGAAGAAATGTACTTACTTTTTTGGCAGATGTCCTAGTACCCTAAAGCTGCCGATCATAAAATGATCCAGAGCAATAGTTGCAAGTCATTAAGAAAAAAATACATACACTTTCATAAGCTGCAGAGAGCTTTGTGAGAAGATGTGGGGAAAAACAATATATTTTTGGTTGAGCAATTTTAAATTTATATGGTTTCTTCAGAAAAAGGAAAAGGCACATTATAAGAGGAATGTTCATAAAAAAAATCTATTTTAAAATCAACTCTATTCTTCTTGTTATCCTTTGGTAAAATCTCCTTCTGTTAACTTGAAGAGCCCCTGGATGACTCAGTTTTAGAAATACAGGACTAGTTAGAAAGACAGAGAAATGGAAATTCAAGTTACAATTAATTTATCTGTTCTGATTATGTAGTGTATGCATGCAAAACTTTTCACAAAACTAGTAGCTTGAATATTAAAAACATGTCTGGGCAAGCTCACTTCCAGTTTTTGTAAGGCTTGGAAAGGAGGAAAAATTATTAGTGTGTAATAATTTAAAATCTTATGTGGATACCTTCACATTGATGATGTATGTCTGATTTCATAAAGATTTCTGTAGAATTCTCTCAATTTCTTTAGGAAATTTCAGTAAATATAAAAAAAAGAGCTGTCTGCAAGTGTGGAGCACATCCTTATACAGCATAAGAATGTTCCCCAACATCATTCCAAGCCAGTATCTGAAAATCTTCTGAAAAATTTTCTCAGTTAATCACAGTTAACGTATTTTTGTAATTCTGTTAAAAAATAACAACAGTTAAGAACTGGACTCGGACTGCAATATCCCTTTAATTTCAAAGTATATACTTGCAGTTTTAAGGAATATTTTCCTTCTCATGCAACAAATGCATGAGACTAAAGCATTTCTTTAAAAAACTGCAAAATATTCATCAGTGATAAAACATTACTAGAAGTATTTAGCATCAGAGCACCACATTCTTGGCTTTGTTACTTTCATTCAACTATATCAAACAAGACAACAATATTTTGTTAGATTGCAGTGATAAGGTCTTTTGATGTGTCTTGGCAGGAAAATAAGAAATTACCTTCACAAACCACTAAAACAAGTTTGCTCATTCTATTTCTTGGCTTCTACAAACCTTATGTTCATGGCATCGAAATAAATAAGTCATAAATAACAGGACTAAAATTAATCAAAATTGTATGTGCATTATCTTATTGTATACCTGTCTTCTTAATTGCTTTTCAAAGTTTTTTGGCTCACATTTATACAAAGCTCTCTTCCATATTGGTGCATAGCAGAAAGGAATCCACAAGTCGGGGCTTTACCAGCTGCTGAAAATCTAAATCTTCAAGTCCATCAGGACTCATAACTGCTAGTCTCCGTAAGGCTGCCTAGGAAAAAACAAAACAAAACAAAACAAAACAACCAATTATCGTACTCTTAACGTTTGAGAAAGTCTTCACTGCAAGAATCCATTACAACTAACATAGAATCATAGAATCATGGAATGGTCTTCATTGGAAGGGACCTTAGAGATGATCTAATCCAACGCCCCTGCCATGGCCAGTCCTCACTGTAAGAATCTATTATAACTATCTGTAAATAAGAGCTAAGACTCAAAACTGAATCGTGCAGGTCTAAAGACTCCTCTACCTGGTAAATCTCTTGTTATCTGCGCCCATCAATTGGATCTTGCCTCAAATGGAGCTATTAAATGACACTTCTTTTGGGGTACATTGTTCCTAGAGCTGAGCAGCAGGGACAGCGCACTGTTAAATATCACAGGGGAGAGTCAGAGCACTTGGACTGCAAACCTCTCCCTGGTCTGCTGTGCATCCCACCCTTCCTCTTTGTATTTCAACTCTCCTCTCAGCTTTTGTCTTATTTATGAGAACTGTAAGCCATCTGATTCAGAAAACATCTGCTACTGAAGCTTTATGCAACTCCCATATAGAATTCTTTCAGATGCTAGTGCAGTAGAAAGAAGCCATACATTTCAAACCATTTGGGAACAAATAAAACTGCAAGTTGTTCTGATTATGAGGCTGCACAATACAACTTGCAAGTTACTATTATCTCTAGGAACTCTTACCTTCTTAGAATTTAGTCATTTTCCTCACTGGAGAAAAATATACAGTTATATATCTTCCAGCAACCAGACATGACAGATGCAACTGGCTTTCCTCAATAACAAAAACTGTTTTCTATTAGTAAGGTCTGATAGTGGTGATCAACTTATCTCTGTGCTGTTTGTCAACACAGCGCTAACACAAGAGTTAACCATCTGCTCCAAAATAAAACAACCAAGCTAAAATTACCAAACAGCACAAGCCCTCAGACTTTAGTGACAATTCCTACCAGAGCCTGAAGCAGTTCATGTCACAAGGACAATATTTTTGCCACGTGTTTATCAAAAAGTGGGCAGTTGGTTTCTAAAGTATCAGGAGAAGCAGAATTGTTGAGGCAGACAAGCAGGTAACACGAATTCAAGGAACGTGCAGCCACAACTTCAGCGAGACTGAAAAATCAGAGTCTGGTTTGCTGCCATCACTCTGGCCTCTTGCTCTAGCCATACCAGATTAACAAGCCTTCTCAGCCTGTATGAAGAATAACCACAGCATTTCTTATGCTCACATTCATACTCTTCATCCCGGATGAGTCCCACTTAAGAGAACAAAACTTCCCAAGTGCTGGTACAAAGCTAGTCGTTAATCAAAGCTGTGATAATCAAGTTTTACTTCCACATTTAAAATAACATTATTACTAAAAAGCACTGCCAAACAGTATTCTTCTGTCTTCAATCATCAAAACCTCTCTCCTAGCCCTAGATCGCCCATGTCCCCTGAGCACTTTCCTCTCACAGAACGCTGGGTGAAATCATTCAGCTCAGACAGTTGGCTGGAGCTCCTAGTGCAGGCAGCACAGGGCCAGCAGCTGGGATCTTTCTCCTGAGCAGACCAAGTGTTAACCTTCTCTGGCCGCTCCTTGGCTGAACACTGGACTGTCTTGGAGACTCAGATTAAAAAAGAACTGCATCACAGTGAAAGCAGGAATCCCCTTTCCTCTCTTTGGCCACTTCACATAAATATTTCTGTGTGCAGGTGTGTGCAGGTAAAGGGCTGCTGTCCCTGTGATTCAAGTTCATCCCAGCAAACACGTCGTGAGAGAATCGAATTTAAGAATTACTCAAACCTCACACTCTGAAGTGTTCCCATGAATTTTTTTAGTGCTCAATAACATGAAGATGAAGCCATTTTTCATTATGTGCTTAAATCTTCAATCAGAGGATAAATAATTGACACTGTATAGGATTATGCTTAAGGGGAAAAGTAGGAGACCCTGGCATGAATTTAAAACATTCCTGCAATACATATGCATTTTGAAATCTAAAGGGCTGTTTTTTCTGCATTTTTGAGGATAAGCATAAAAGAATGATTAAAATGTACCTACCAGACAGGCCACTAAAACAGAATCACTGTTATTTCTTTCCGTTGGTGATCTGCAAAGTTTAATAAGGCGAGGAATACCTGAATGCACAAAAGAGTACCAGGAGAAATAATTTAGAAAAACAAACTCCTTATTTTGAGCTGGGGTGTTTTATTAGATTTTTCATACTTATCTTCCTTAGTTGATACACACTCTAACGCAAAGATGATACACAAATATATAAGTGGTTGTCCATGGAGCTATGCTGTTCAGAGCAATCATAATTAATAGTTGTAAAGCATGAACAAACAAATGCATTGCTTTGCCCATTATTGCTATGTAATAAAATTTGGAAATTATGACCCCCATTCTTCCTTGTCATTCCTGCCCCATGCCCTTAAAAAACTCCAGCCAAAAGAGTATGTTTCTTCCTGTTAGATTAATCGCATCTGAACCTACAGCGGTGCAAGTTTTCTGTCCAAGGGTTTAGCTGAAGGAGTGGAGGAGGCAGCCCAGCCCTCTCAGCTGGCACAGTCTGCCGCAGGGATGTGCTGAGTGGACACTGCACCTCACGTTCCTCTGGGAAATGAGCCAGAGAGTCATTTAGCACAACCTCCTCAGTCACTCTCTGGACAGACTGCGTACAGAAGCTATTCCATAAAGTGTGCTGAGCGAGGCTAACAATTTAAAAGAGCTTCTCCTTGACTGGCAGTTCCTCCCTTTTTTTCAGTCTGCCATTTAGCTAGTGATGCATCCTTACAGCTGAGTTTTATGGCTGCATCTGCCACTTCAGGATCTCGGCTGAGTCGTGCCAATGTAACTGCGGATTTCTGTTGGACTCGCTCACAAGCAGCAACTTCTGCAGAATTTCCTGAAGGTGATCTTTCAAAGAGCATTTCCATTAAAAGTTGAACACCTAGAAGGATGTAAGAGACACTGTTATCCCCTCTTCCACCAAAAAACTCAGTGCCAAAAAGTAGAAGGAAAAAGAAAGCTGGGTAAATACAAACCAATTGCTGCCCAAATAGGGCGTGAGGAATGCATCAATGTGGACTGCAATTTGGCCACCAGCATTCAGGCACATCTGATTTGTGCATAACTTTGTCTTCACTAGGAAGCTACAGAACTTCTGGAACTAGAAAATGCGCTAACTCTTCCCTCCTCCAACCTCTTGACTCCTCTACAAGTTGGTATTCTAGATTTCACAAATTTATTTCAGTCAAACTAAAAGCAATTCTTCATTTTCTTCTAAACTACCCTGAAGGGTAGTGACGTAATTCAGGTCTCGACATGAATTTTTTCTTTGTATTAAAGCAGAATAAAGCTAATTTTCTTTTTCTGAGTTTATGTATTTTTCAGCAAGCCTTTAAAATTTCTCATCTCAAACTGTTTAGGGGTATTTTAAAAAGAGGAATCCTTTAATAAGGGAAATGATAAAATTCTGCCTTCAACTTTACTGTGCAACTAACTCTTCACTTCAGAAGAGACAGTGTCATCCATGTCAAAGTGGTTTCACTAACTTACTGTTGCCTGTAGGAGTTGATATTCTTATTGTACCAGCAGAAAAACAGATGACACTGTACTCATTTCTATTTTCTAAATTATTTTAAATGTAAGGACAATTATGTGCTATTAGGCTCCATATGCTATTAGGCATTCAGATTACTTCAGGTAGCATCAGAGGGTTTTAACTGTTAGAACATTTGCATAAATAATTAAGAGAATTAGCATCAGAATCATGCAGCCAGATAATACTCAATTGACATAAAAAAGTCAAAGTTGTGAAGAAAATGCATCTAAATTCTCCCAGATTCAAAGGCTCTTCTCAGTTTGTGAATCTGGCTTCTGACCAGCATCTGATTACAATGTTGGGCAGACACGAAAAGGTTTCATACACAAGATGAGCATCAACCCTTCACAGAAGCCTTGGGGCAAATGGTTCTGTGTGAACTTGCATTACCAAGTGTATCCAGAAAATTCGTCACATTGTGCTTGACAATCCCTGTCTACGTCTCTGCCTGCTGTAGTGTCGATCATGAGTTAGGCCTCGTTGGCATAGCTGTTAGTATAATTTCATGAAGTTCAGATAGTATAATTTCATGAACTTCAGACAAGTTTCTGCTGTAGTAGATGTTTGTGAAATATGTTTAAACACCTGTCCCAAACAACACAAGATGTTTTGGATATTCTCAATCCAATCCTATAAATACATACATCTAGAGTCCTGGGAAATGTCTTACCAAGAGTTTCTAGAGAAGTCTCTGAGTAGGAAAGTCCCAAGTGCCTGCATCAAGGGGCCCAGGACCACCTCTCCAAACTCCAGGAAGAGAGGGACCTTGGACAAGGAGCATGGCAGGAACCATATGGACCTTACCAAACTTTCTCTGACTGCCCCATCCCTCCCATGCAACAAGGAGGCCATAGAAGAAACCACCATGCCTTGCTCCACCTCCACCCTGCACTGTCTTCTACATAGGACAGTGAAGTCAGGTAATTTGTAAAATTGTGTGTATCTGGGATTAAATTGCTTCAGAATCCAGATCCATTCATGTCATCTGGTCTCAAACTGCAACACCTATCCACCTCAGCAGGGACATCAAATGCACGCTACCTCTGTGCACACTTGGACCACATCAAGCAAACCAGTTATGCCTGATTCTTGCCAGTTTTATTCGTGTGCACAGAGATCAAATTTTCCACTGAAATGCAAAAAACATCTAAATGCAATATTACATAGTAATTGGTCAGTTCTAGTTCAATACTCGCTTCCCGATGCAGATGCTTTCTGAAACCACTTCTCCCACCTACGATCAGCCATGCCTGAGATTCAAATGGATCCAAACTCAAACCATTCCTATCCAAACCTTAATTCAGAAAGTGTAGAAGGGATATTCCTCGTACAGAAAAAGCAATATATGTAAAGCTTTACTGTAATTTAATCTCTCTCTCACACACACAAAAAGATGTTTTACTATAATGCTTGGCTACAGACTTGCTGGTAGGTGTATTAATAAGGCAGTTACGTCTTCCTGCATCCTTATCCACAGAGTTACTAACCTAACTTCTCAGACTTCTGGCGGGCCTGTAACAGCTAGGGTTCTTTCAACATAATGAATTTCTCATAATATGACATTTAAAGAAGCATAGAAAAAAAGTAGCAACTGCTGTATAGTAATAAAAATATAATGCTTCAAAATTTATAATACTTCTGAATACCTGGGGAAAAAAATTGACACAAAATGCAGGTATGCATGGCTTAGTATCGGATGATGTCTTTCGATGTGTAAAAATTGCCACTTTATACGATGGCTGTTGAAACACTTTGTACTACCTTGCTTTGTATCGCTAAATCACACACACAGAGTATCAGCAATATGGTCATAAGGTTTTCTAAAGCAGTGATACTATAGTTCAGTTACATAGAACCATCCAAAGGACTCATTTTGCACCCTGCAGCAATGTGCAACATCCAGGAGAGAAAGGATGCAAAAAAGAGTATTACTAGAGAAGCTTTTCTCCTTTACCTTCTCCTTTTCACATTCTCCATAAACAAATACAGAATATATTTCAGCTAAAATACATACCATTTCCTTGAATTATTTCTGAAGCACACTGGTCCAAGACAGACATGTTTGCCAATATTGTTGCCACCTGTTATTAAAAATGGAAAGAAATATAAAGTACAGCCCTACAATTCAGCAATATTAAATAGCATTGTGGCTTATAAAATTGAAATGGCAAAAATATGGCAAACCCAGAAAAAAATAAAAAGCATTCTTGTGGTTGAACAGTCTATTCCCACCTTTTTGATTTCTCAGGGGTCTTTACCTTACATATGGCTGCTAAATGAAATCCAGACAAGAAATAAACCCTCTGTTTCTCACGTTCCTATGCTCTTGCATAAAAGTCTGGCGTATAGAAATCTATGTAGCAGAATTGTTCAATGGTCGAATTGGTAGAAGGAGGAAGATAAACATTTATAAAAATGAACCAACTGAAAAAGAAACCTGGAGTCCTAAAGAAATCAAGCAGGAGCTACCCTCCCTCAGGAATCAATCCTGTAGTCACCTTCCAGCTCAGGCAGAGCTCGCAGCGAAGGTTAAGAACCAGCACAGAGTACACGTTCCATGGCACTAAGTTATTGTTACCTTTCGGCTTCAGGGTTCAGCTGAAGCGCTCAGAAATCCTCACAAAGAATGTGGAGTTTTGAGCCTTCATTCAGGGGAGTATTTAAGGACTACTTTTCTGGTTTTCTGAAGCCATAAGTTGTGAGCATGTCAAAGGACTGACCCAAAATGAGCTGGATTCAAAAATCTGTTTATACATTTCCTGAGCTAAGGTCAAGATTAGGTTTTGTACCAACACTTTGAGATCCTAATTTATGGAATTCCTTATCCAAAATAGAACTGTTTTCAAGAATTGGTGCAACTCAATTTGCTAAAAGTGATGCAGCAAGCTGTTGACAGAGACTGGATTATGTGGAGCTATTGGATTTTTATGACCCGTTCCCTTTAACTGATACAGAATCCTAGAATCATAGAATGGCCTTCTCTCACAGATCCTGCAAAATATTCTCTTTAATTTTATCTTTCAAATAACTTGTTTTCTGCATGCAAACCTATCTCTGTATTAACAGCACATGTGAGAGACCAAATAATCTTAAAAAAATAGAATACAAAACAGAAATAAACTTTCTTAAGAGGTTTTAATTTTCTCTCTTCTAGTTGAGCAAAACTGATCAGCCTCAAAAGTAATGATCAGTTTGAGAACTGTTTAACAGCTTTCTAACGATACTGTCAGTTCACAAACAAGCAAACTTCTTAGATTTAAGTAGGCATGAGATCAAATCAACGTTCTGATATCACTTTGCCATTTTAATAACAAGGATGACTCATTTTTGATGCTGTGACATAAAGGACTTCCACTTTTGAAGGTAGTGTTACAGTGTCATCTCTCTGAATAAATACACTTACTTAAGATGCAAATGAGTTGCTGAAACTCTACAGAGTGACAGGTAAAATATGGTAACTCAGTATATGTCTATGTATTTATTCCATATTAATTATTAACTGTGTTCCAGGCAGAGTGTATATGTTTTCTCATTCTAAATTATATCCTGTTAATGAAAATTGCTTCCTCTATGCAGAATCAGTACCCCATGTGGCTCTCTAAGACACAGATGAAGAATTCAATTAATCACAATTTGAATATATGTCAATTATTCCATTGCTTAAAAAAAAGTTATTTTGTCCTATAAGTATTTTCATACATAAAAATATTTGGTGTGTGTCTTTTGACACCAAAAATTATTGGAGGTTATATCTGTACTTCCTTTACGTCCCCTGTGTTTTGCAATCTATTTATTAACCAGCTTAATGGGTTTATCAGCAACCTCCTCTAGAGTGTTTTATAGAAGACTCTTATCATCAATAACCATCAAGTTCTACCTATATTATCTTTCCAATGCTTAGCAGCACTTGAAAGGTAGTTGAACTACAGGTTAGCTCACTCCATATGGACCGATTTTTCTTTCCCCAAAAGTCACATTTTCTTGTGATGTAAACAGTATAACATGGAACAGCATGATGTAAACCGATAATAGACAAGCTGAATAAATAGTTGACTTTAACTGCTATATTCCCTTATACTTGTCTATTTTCAAATTCAGTAAACATGCAGCTTAACAAAAATTTCCTCTGTAATACAGATGAAAGTTCAAGGAAGTTTAATGCTAAAGATGAACTCTCTAGAAGAAAACACAAACTTAAACGTAGACTCAGTTTGCTTTGAAAAGCAAAACTTCCATGAGCACTGGTATTAATGAAGTCTCATTTCTTTTGGATTTAGAGTTGGTCAAAAACCATACAGATAACTTTTCCAGTAGCATCTTTCCCACTGCAGATCTTTTTCTACCTAATGATGCATAGGCTTACGCTTGTCTTTACCTTAGTGTCTCTTTTCCAATTGTCTGGTTCTAAATTTCCTAAAAGCTTAGGCAGTTTCTCAAAAATAACTGTGAAGTACTATTGCATCAACAAAACAGTTCGGAGGTTATTGTGAGACACAGAGCACACAGATATAGATAGAAGTGATGGCCTAAGCCTCATCTCCACACAGAAAATCAGTGAAAATTACTGAAAAAAATAGATACCAAAATCTCGTTCAGAACTGAAATAATTTTTAAATAATTGAAAGTCTTGAAAACATTTAACATGGAATCTCTACTGTTCAACTGCAATGTTTAGTATAAATTTCATTAGTTGCTCAAGACATCTCTTGTAAAAGATTACACTCCAAGACTATAAGGGACTGTCACCTGAGCCAATTTACGATTCTTGAAATTTTTCTGGATTCTTAAGCCATGCAAGGAACTTGTAGTCAGCTCAAACTATAAAAAAGAACATACCCCAAAGACAGGACACGTAAGCTCTAACCATCCAATAATTCTATCATACCATTAAGATAGTCTCTGCTGGAGCCACTCACAAATTCCAGTACCCCAGCAATATCTTGCTATATGGAATCTGCAGATGCACTATTAAGCAAAGATAGAGATCTTCCAGGAAAAAAAAAAAAAAAGTTGCTTCATCCTATGTGAAATTTTTTAATGAAACATCTGGTCTCACATTCTATTGCCAAACCTAATTCATGACTATAGTGGACTGCCTTAGGAACCATGTGCTGCAAGAGCTGATCCTATCCAGCAGCATTCCCTGCTTCGGCGCCTGTATGTCTGCTAGGCTGATCTCTTCTAGAGCTAGAGCTTGGTCCGTGCATCTCCAATATCTGTATTTTAGCAGAGCTCTCGAATAGACTAACCCAGGCTCGTTTATCCTCCTGTCTCTGTTATCCAGATCCATCAAAAATTGCAGGTGCTTCTCTATGGAAGGACTCTGATAAACCTGGTGGCTGCGGCTTTCTCTGGAGGAACTGGAAGCCCTAAAACCACTGTAGAAATGAACATCTCAGGAAAGTAGACCTGCTAAACAAATAATGAACTAATACATTTGTTTACCACCAGATAGAAATTAAAATATTCAAGTCAATGCCACATGATACACGCTACTGAAAATAACCAGAGGAACTGGCCTTGGAGGTTCATCCCTACGTTCATCACCTACCTGTTAATGTGCGCTATGTACTACACACCTAAACCACGTAGTAGTGTGACGCGGTAAAACACAAAATGCCAGGAATAGAATTCTCAGACCAGCTCATATTTTAGCACATTTTGAAGAGGCACGAACTTATCAAAATAGTAACATGCAGATAGTTCCACCGAGACTGGTAAGATTTTTCACAAGACTAAGAGACTAAGTATTTGACTTTCAGAGCTTAAAAAGCCATACCCCAAATCAAGAAACTTTGAAAGTTTGCCCTTAAATTGTTTGTTGGTGAACTAAGTATGCAGGGGTATTTGTGGGGGAAAGGATTCACCCTTAGGTCCATGGAAAAATTCCCTATTTAATAAAAAAAAAAAAAAAAAGACATTTTTCACAGTTCTCAAATGTCAATCTTCTTGCTAGTCTCGCAGTTGCCCTGGAAATTAATCTAAAACCTAACTAGAAGTCTCTATTTCTATAGGCAAAATAAGTAAACAGATAATAAACACAGATATTTCTCTGTAGTGACAATATCATCCATTATTATAAAGTTAGCCAAGCTAAACTTGTTGGTCACTACATTAACCAGTGGACAAAGGTACTGGATGTTGGTTGCAGAAGTGAAAACTAGATGAAAATGTTTGGTTATAAACTAAGATTGAAACACTGAGGGTGTAAATCTCAAAAGCTCTGGTTAACAAATCTACATCTAAATCTAAATCTCACATAAGTGGCCTCTTTGATAACCTTCCCTTAACAGAAGATTTAAGATGAGGTGAAAGTAATTCTCATTATTATGAAATCAGCTACTTGGGAAGAAAGATGCCATAGGATTTGAAGATGAAAACACACCTTTTAGCCTGTTAAAGGGGCAATATATTCCACATTTGAGGGTCACTTCCCTCCCCTGGGGCAGGTGTCTGCAGAGGTGGAAGATGTGATGCTAATATACCTTAATAAAGGAACACTGTTCAGTAAGCTTTCATTGACAGTCCCAGTATAAATTGAAAGACACAGTCTAAAAATGAGAATTAGCAAGTAATTTAATTGAGTGGCAAAGTAGATCAATATAGGTTTGTTAATTCTCTTAGTTAATTATTCCTTTAAGGCTGATTCATCGCTAAGTAAAATTAATTTTTCTACATATTATAAGAGTATTTTGTAATTTGTTCAAATAAATGACATGAGGATAAATCAGAGTGTGTCTGCAAAGTTCCAGATACCCACCTTCAAAAAAAAAAGGGGCTTCTGAGAACTAATGAGAAGCAAGATAGAGTCTTTTTTTCTGAATATAAATTAAAAACATCTGAACTTCACAATTCTAGATCAATTCATGGGGAAACATCAAAAGAGTACATACAGCAGGAGTCAAGAACAGGTATTACATAAAGTCTAGGCAGAAGAATCTTTCAGGATACTATTGAGTAGCAGAAAAGACCTTGCTAAGAAATGTCTAAAGATTTTCTGCGGGGCATTATATTGCTTAAAATAGAAAGCTTAATTTCCATTGCTTCTGATAGCCATTTCTGTGGTCAAGAATTCAGTTTTCTTCCTTAAAACAGGATAATAAATATACACAGATAAGCAGATCAACAACTTTTTTTGTCACTGGACTGGAAGAGGTGAACATCCCCATAAAATAATAATAGCGATTAGAGAGAGGATCTACTTGCAAAGCCTAGATCCACTCTGAGATTGCATCACAGAACTATAATCTTTGGAAATCTGAGGCAGGGCAACAGACTAAAACTAAAGCAATCTTACTTTTTGGAATGAAGGATGTCTTTGCTACATTTTTATTTACTTTACTTCGTATTTCTCGCTAATCTAGCTAGGGAGTAGGCAGAATAACCAGATTCTCACATTTTTTGTTTTAGAGAAGCGCACAGTAAACATCCTCCGTGGGGCACATGGGGAATGGACATGTCCCATAAATCAAGTCATACGGTTCTAAAAGAGTGATGGAGCTAGAGTGTGTCTCCTCCCTTCTGAGGCCAGTCTTCCACTTTTCAGATGAAAATCCAAGGGAGAAAAAAAAAATTACCCTTCAGACTTTCTTCATGGTGTTAGAAGGCTTCTTAGGTTTTGAAATTGACTCGATCAAACAATGACACCCAAGACAGATGCTCTCCCTAGAGCAGAGCACAATTTTCCCTAAGCTAATCACAGTTGTAAGAAACAATTTTCCTTGTCTAGCTAGTCTAACTGGAACCAGAGTTTGAGTATGTGGGAGACAACTTAGTTTTCTCCATTTTAGAAGAGGCAGAAAGTGCAGAGAACTAATTCAACTGTCACTAACTCAAGCAAAGTGCTCAGGAAGTCACTTCTAATGCCCCTCTAGAAGGCAATAGCTTTCTGCTTGAGGAGGAAAAAGAAATAAGAAACCATAATCTGTAGAAACCCCTGCGCTTGCTTACCTGCTCAAATCAAGACTGAAACCACAACCTTCACCTAGGCAGTGATTCTGTTTTGGAAAAAAAAGATCTGTGGCAAAACTCAAGAGGCTCTTTGAAATCTGCTCTCTCATTTCCTGAAGGACTGAAGACAAAAAGATGACAAATGCAGCAAAACGCATACGTAACCATCTCCCACCTACAGCTCTATGCTTGGTACGGCCTGCAGCAAAGCCTCTTGCTTATAGTTGCTGCAGTAAACAGCCCAGCCTGATTGTACCGTGAACCTGGCAAGGCAAGAAAATACAAACTGCAATGAATTGTGCTGACATACCGTATTTCCTCTAGAGAGACTTTACACTGAGTAAGGGCAATGTCTGCCCAACTTTACAGATGATTAAACAAAAAGGCAGAGAAGTTAAACTGCTTCTTCAAAATCAGAGCAGCAGCAATATTAGGAATTGATCCCGGGAACAGAAACCTCACCACACTAAGTTAGCAAAGAATAGCAGAGTTCTTTACCTGAGCTGAGATTCTACTCTTCCAACTGAACCTCTTGCTTTGCAAGACCTGTTAATATACTTCTCGTTAAAAGCACTGCTCTCTAAGCCTTTCACTGTGTGTTAGGCAACATTTAAAATTCAAAACTGCTTTATGTTAAAGTGAAATCTCTCTCTGCTCTCCTTTTGACCCTACCATGTAAGACAAAAAGACAACAAAAAGGAAAACACAAATGCCCTGGAATGAAAAAAAAAAGGAAGAGCAGAGAAAAGGATGTGGAACCTAGAGTAAAAATAGTATTAAGGCTTTAAATCTTAAATGAGGCAGAAGGTCTCAACTTCAGAGCCTACAGCATCTCCCTAACACCAAGAAAACAGGGAAGTACTTGGCAGAAAAAAAGCAGCAACTATTTCCATTTTCTCCTTCCAACTTAAACGACTTTTTCCGCCTCACATTTTTTGAAACATAACTCACTGATAGAAATAACCACTTTAAAATGGATGTGTTCACTGCACATTAATTCTTTGTCTGCCTGAATAAGAGAAGATCAGAAGCTGTTAGAATATACCTCCACAACTTCACAGGTAAGGTGAGAATACTAGCAACACTGAAGAGACAAGTGGGAATGCAGAGAAAAAAATATTATACATAAATATACTGCGCACAAATATACATATTTTGTATTTTTCAGTGTAGAGTCTAAGACGATACTTAACGTCCGGAAGGCCCTGAATGATGAGGATTTTGGCTAAACCCTTTGTATGACAGTGATTAAACTCTATAAAGACATCTGACTGTATACATTACACTGCTGAATTTAGGCATGAACTCTTCTGAAAGGATATTTTGATGTTCCTTACTTTGTTTCATAGCTTCAACATTTAGTATAGCTTAATTCTAATTCATCTATTTCACTGGCCAGGATGACTTGAACATTCAAAATGAGTCCACCGAAATATATTCCACAATAAAATCTTGAATCAAAATTTTTCCAATTCTACTCAATTTTAATCTATGTACCCTTAGACAAATGTCTACTGGCTGGGATATAATCATATGTATAATAGGAAAAGCCAGTAACTATCTTATGTACCTAGAAGGAATTAAAGCACATATATCAAAAGCAAAAAAAGGCAATTTAAAATACCCTTGTAAAACACAGTATTGTAGTGTTGCTTTTCTCTCTCAGTGCATTTCAACACTCACAGCTCTTAAAGATGAGTAGCACTCAGATTCCACCTGAACATCAGGTGCTCAGTAACAGAAGAAGACAAGGTAGGATTTTATAGTCCCCATTGCTGCAGAAATAACAAGGAGTCAGCTCAGAAACTTACTGTAGCACACGGAAAACCTCACACCTTTCTGACCTAGTTTTTCATTCCAAGAAGGAATGTAAAGGGTTGTTGGGGAAGAAATCTTCTCAATTCTTGGAAGGAAGACATTCAGTTCTCTGTTTCTCTAGCTAAGGAGGTGTCCTGCAAGCTGCAAAAAGCCTGGAACTGACCTGCTACCTAATAAAGTCATACATATTTCTTTAAATGTCTGCCTCCCTCATAAATAGAAGGGGCTTGCTATGCTATCCACAGAGCAAACTGCAAACTTACAGCTGACAGCAGAATTAGGATGAGGGCATAAATAAATAAGGAAATTGAAACTAAGAAGGTGTACAGGAGGAATTAAAAAAAGAACATGGAGAATTGTACATATGTAATAATAGAATGCAGCCATGTCAAACTCCACAACTGATGTCCTTGATTTTGTCCAAAGAGCAATATAGCAGTTATGGCTTAACTTCATTTTTTCCATAAATACTCCTGAGCTGGAAAACTACTAAGCACTATTAATAAAAGCTAACGCACCCCTTGTAACCCCTCTAGACCCCACTAATCCATGCCTACAGTCCCATGTCCTGGCTCCTATCAAAGGGTACACAGAATTTTCTGTGACAATGCAGATCTCAAGTCTACCAATAAATCACATTTGGGCTACTGCAGAGGTGGGAAGGGGAAGGGCTTGTGAGGCCCTAATTAAGGATTTTTAATTATGTTCCTAATGTCTCATGAACAAAAGTAGGTTAACGGAGCTGACTAGCAACCTCCATCCCTTAGTAATAACTACTGAAACCCTCAAGCCTCATGCTTATTAATCCACTAAGGCAAAATTAATCACTGAAGTCCCAAATCAGCATTGCCTTTGCAGCATCCCTTTGCATGGCAGTACCTGAGAGGAGCCAGAAGAATTCCCTCTGACCTCATCTGTGCATTAGCATAGGCCTTTAACCTTCTGTGTTTCTTTACTAAAAAAAAAGGGTGAAAAAAGAAAGGGAAGCGCAAAAGTATGCCAGCAGTATTTGCCAGCAAATCATCTACCATGCGGTTAGGACTTGATCCAAAGCCCACCGACGTCAATGGGCTGAGGATCAGATCCTTATTCAGCTTTTGGAGCCAATTCATCATTAAACTGACAATTGTATATTTAGGCTGCACTCTCCTTATATATCTTACTTGCCTCAAAGCTCTGCCCAGTCAAGTTTTGACTATCTCCAAAGGTGGAGATCCCACAGCCTCTCTGGGCCTCTGTGCCACTGCTTGGCCATCTCCATGACAAAAAAACGCAGATATTCTAGTATTTTAGAAATATGGAACTCTGCTTTTTTTTGTTTTCTGCAAAATCAAATTAAAAGCTGTCATATTTCATAATTATGATAATAAAAGGAACAGAGAGAGATAAAAAAGAGTCCCATATTGAAAAGAACCAAGAACGTTTGGCTATGTCAAAACAGATCTGAAACCTGTTGACTTTTACACAATTTGCTGAGAAACTGCTCACCTGATCACGGGAATATGGAGTATCCACTATGTGTTTGTCTGAGCATGCTGCTAGAAGAATCTTCATTGCATTTAACTGGAGCAGTATTTCACAAGCCATGGTATCAAAGAAAGTAATATTGGCAAGAGCTGCTGAAGCAAGCAGGAAAACTTCACCAGATGAGGCTTCTTGGCACAGTTCTAGGAATATAGAAATTCAGTTGAATATAAGTCATTACTTCATTGCAAAAAAACAGGGTTAGGTGTTTCAAAGCATTATTTAAGCATCTGCATCTTGCATTAGTAATCTTAGTACCTAAGACCAAGTTCATAATCATCAAGATAAAAAGACAAACCAAACCAAAGAAAACCACGTTAATTTTGTCAATTACATAATATCATACAATCATAGAATCATTCAGGTTGGAAAAAATCTTTTAAGATCATCGAGTTCAGCTGTTAACGTAGAACTACCAAGTCCTCCGCTAATCCATGTCCCTAAGCGCCACATCTACACATGAGCCCAAAACTGAACACAGGATGCGACGTGCAGCCTCATCAGTGCCAAATATAGGGGGGCAATCACTGCCCTGGCCCTGCTGGTCACACTATTGCTGATACAAGCTAGAAAGCTATTTGCCTTCTTGGCCACCTTGGCATATGTCACATTGTTAGGGTGCTTTGTAAATGATATATTAATGGTAGGCACCTTCATTTGAACTACACAAGCAGGGAAAGATGGTAAATATGAACCTAGACACCAAGTGTTTCTAACATTCATCTAACTAGTGTAGCATTCAACAGAAAATATTCTACTGATCGCTGTTCAACGTAAAAGGATATAGCTAAATAAATGAAATATAGAGGGCAGAAGGCTAACAGTAACTGATCCATAAGAGAATAGTTCTGCGCTACATCTTGTTCTTTAGAACAAGATATATATACAAGTTGCTTATCTCTAAATATATTTCTCTATAGTCAAATACCATCTTGCATATTTTATGGCTTCAGTAAGAAGTGCTGAAGACACAGCTACCTTTAATTCCTTGCACACATCTACTTTAACTAAGATCTGAATCAGCTGGTAATTGGATTTCAGTATGGTTTAAAAATTAAACATATTACAGTAATTCAGTTACTGAGGTAGAAATATTACAAGGAAACTGGTGTGTGATTATTGCAATGACTCTTCCAAAATTACATGTGTTCTATTTTTAATGCTTACATTTCTTGGGCAGAGTATATACTACTAAAATTCCTGTGGAACTTAGACAGTGACAATCAGGAAAATGCTCTGCCTGCTAGTATATTCTGGATAGGTTGCTCAGATTGCCCCTGACCACAGTATCCTTTAATAACCTGGAAAATCGTTTCAAAAGAGACAGGTCAGATGCCTTTAGCAGTCCAGCTTCAATAGAACCAAGCTCTGCACAAGTTAATTTGACCTGCTGGATTCAGGACAGAAGTCCCATAAAGAACTTACTGACAAGTGCTGTTAGAATTTCTTCCATGTTTTCCAGAAAGCTGCTGAGATGCTGAGTGAAAGTGAGATGTGGAGATGTGATCTGTGCAATTACTGCTGCTGCTTCTGCATGAGTAGCTTCAGAGTGGCTGTTATCAGTAAGAATGTCAGTCAGGCACAGTATCCCATCAACCTATGGAAAAACAACAGGTGTAGGCTGGAAATACTCCAGGAAATACTTCTGCAACCAGAGATGGGTTTACAGTTCTCATATCTTGGCTGTGGCAAAACTATTCAGTTTAATTTCAAAAATGACTTAACTTGACGGCATTTGCAACACAGAAGTTTCAATTTAGCAAATACAAATGAGTTCAGCATAAAAGTTTGTTGACCAGAAAAAGATCTTGCATTTCCTTCTCCCTTAATATTTCTGCTGAATTGATTTTGGTCAAACAAACAAGTCTTTTCTGACAGATCTCTCAGGTTAAACACCAATCCAAAAAGAAGCTTTGATAAGCAAATCCTAACTGCTGCTATGCCACAGTCTAATTTAAGCATGAATTAAATTAATACAGTAATTAAAATCTTTAGACAAATAAAACTAATGCAACTACAGGTACAGTTTACAAATGATCAGAGCTTTTACAAACTTCACTGTGTAACTGTTTTATAAACTGGCAGTATTTATTTATTTATTTGAAGTTCTGAAAATGTGTGGAGTCGGGTGTCTTACATGTTGCCTGGACACTTTGTAAATACAAAGAGGAGTTATGAAGGCTTAGCGCGAAATACACTTTAACAATCAAAAACAAACTCACATTTGTGTTGTATACTCACTAAGACACTTTCTTAGGTCTGCTGTCCAGACTGCATTGTCTGTCTATTCAAAAATTCCCAAGAACATGCACATTACGTCCTATCCATTATCTCCACAAAGGGTATTTAGCAAATCTCCTACTCGCAGTTTTGTTATTTATTAACGGAGAATGTTAAGTTACCTTAATTACTTATTCTGCAATGGGCATGGATTAAATTATCTGATAAGCACTGACAGTTACTGCACACAAGAAAAGCTCTCAGATAGATGGGAGCAAAAATTACCCTCCAAAAGATCATTCACTGGGGTGCACTTTTTAATAGGCAATAGACTATATCATGGGAACTCTAATAACATAGATAAATACAAAAGAAATTATATCTCTATTTTTCCTTGGATTACAAATGGGATTTAGTAGAGAAGCTCAAGTACTGGCAAAAAGAGGAAGAATAAATTTTCAACATTAAACTTTTTCTTGACAAGCTTTCAACATTAATCTACCTACAGCAAAATATTTCCTCCTAGTTATGGCAGAATTCTACAGCTTGAAACAGCAGATTCACATAATTCACTTGGCTTCAAGGTATATTAATAGATCTCAGTGTCAAGAATTAATGTATGTCCTCACAAGATGATTTAGTAGCCAAAGCGTGCTAGACAATATTATATGCAAACCCCCAACTTTGTCACCTTGAAACCTCTCCAGATCACACCTTGTCTGGGGTCTGAGGGATGTTAATAACAACAGGCAGTGTAAAAAGTTAAATATATTCCAACACATTCAAAAACTACTTCACGAGAGACTTCTATGATCTTCTAACAGGGTACAGCACTCTTCAGCTCTAAATTTCCTGGTTAAAATCCATTTGGCCAACTTCTATTCAATGACCTTGACAAAATTACTTTAGAGTAGTTTTATGCCATTTCGGAACAAGTAATGGTTCATGAAAGACAGGTACAATCACATCGTTAGATTTTTCCATTGCTGCTGACTGTTTGTATCTTCACTATAAAATACAGGTTTCTAACAATATAGAGCTGCACTTAACTTTTAAGTTATATATTTGATTTTTTTTGTTTTTTGCTAGGTGATTGGTTTTGGAAACTGGGAGTTGCTGAATTGTAAATAGAAGTGGATATAAAGTTTTATACAGCATAAATACAAAATACGTCTTCTGGATCCGCGAAAGCCAGCACTAGTTACTTTTTCTCTTTTCTACTCAAAAATAAGTAAAATACTAACAAATTCAGCCTAAAAGTTGCTCTATACACTCACCCATCTTAAATATAGTAAATAAAATAATTCTACTTCAGCAGGCAGCCTCATTTATAAGTGTCTAGCAATAAATTCTAAAATGACAGGGGAACAATCTAATAAAAGCACTTTAACATCCAAAAAGAAATTGCTGCTCAAAGCATTTTTATAATTAGCTTTCACACTGAAAGGAAGTTTGGATGGCTGCCCTGTTTTCTGTTTAATTTTGGTGAAGTAATCAGCTAAATGTCAAATCTGTTCATCACCTTGGCAATACAAAAGAACCAGTTAGCCAGATAACGCAAACAAATGAATTCCATGAATGCAACATGATGCTGCGGAGTTCCTGCATTTGAGGAATGGTGTTCAGTAAATGCTTGATCACTAATATTTCAATATTGATAACTGGAAAAATGCCAGGAACTGATATTCTTGGGAGCATAGCCTTGTTATAGAGACTTAATCCAAGTGACAAAATAAATGTGTGATCACTTTACTGCATAGATCAAGTCTTCTGAAAGGAAATAATGTCTTTTTCTCTGGAACAGGAATGAGTAAGTTCTGGGGCAGCCCTCTTTTTTCTTCAGTATACTTGTTCTTCCTCCTAAAAATATTAAATAAATCTAGGCATCTGTTAAAGATACCAGTACAGAACTTGGGACGAATTGTATTAATTATGTCATGATTTGAAATATTACACACAACAATAGTCGTAACTCTCTGCTTTCCACAAGGAAGTTCAAGGCAGGCTCTCCAGGGCACTCCGTGAACTAAGACCCATCGACTTCTTTCTAATAAGGTCTGACTTCATTTGTACAAAATGCTGCTGAAGGTCTTTTCTTTGAGGACTGATACTAAGAGTAAGACAGTCTTTTAAAGTATTGTTTCTGCAGTTGATAAAAGAAACCAGGAAATGCACCACTATTAGCCTAGCAGCTCACATATTCCAACTCCCATAAATCATAGTTTATTTTGCTTCAAACTACCCTCTGCAAACATTGGTGGACAACCCAAAGATACGTTCAAGTTTCCTGATCTACTCCTCACCTGCCTCCGTTTCTACAGGATAGCTACTGGGTGGCTACAAAGGGCAGAAGGAAAAGACACTGCAAAGGAATTCACTTGCACTTACTTGGAAGTCATCTGTAGTACAGATCCTACTACCCAACCACTGTTGATGTTCATTGAGTTGGGATGCCTTGATAAAACAAAAGGAAAACTACTGAGTACAAACAGGCACAGTGGCTTGGGGGAAAAAAAGATTCTAAATGGCTTTTGTATTCAGTATTTGTTGTTCTCCTATATAAAAGCTAAAAGACAATCACAGTAACAACTGTGATATCTGTAATCTCAGGAGTATACAAGAGTAGAGGAGAATTACTTGTGTTCACACATGGTAAAGTTAGAGATTAAATTCTTCAAGTTATGTGACACATGACAGAAGTCAAAGGTTTCTCAGATTCTTTTGCTCTGCATTTTAGAGGGCTGGATATACTGGCTTGTTTTTAAACTGCAGGAGTCTGTTCCTATTTGTAGGATTTTCTTGATATCTACATTACAAATTCCAGAAAGTATATGCTTGTTTCTTTTTAATAATGGATAAGGCTTTATATATTATACTTTGGGGTCTGAATTTCATTAAAAGTAAGCCACACCAACACATAAAGGACTCAGCAACAAGATGAGAGGACCTGTCATATGTTATGTAAGAATGCTGAATGAGATACTGGGACCTGAAGTCTGAATTAGTTTTTTTTCAGACATTAGTAGTTTTCACATAGCCCTTATTTTTATTTACCCCGGGGGATCATAGTCTGAGCAGCAGAAGAAAAAAAACCAACACCTCAACTTCTCCTATAAACAAACAGGGGCTCCAGGGCTATGCATAGCAGGGCACTTCAGAAAATGAGATGTGCTCACTGAAAAAAACATGCTCCGATCATCTAGTTTTAAATAAATAATGTCACAGACACTTCATTGCATGAGGGCATATTCTCAAACGCCTGGTGTCTGGCATTTAAAATCACTCTTTCAACATGTTTGATTACTTTGTATCATTTAGTTTTTGGTGTGACATCACGGATTTTATTTTCAAGAAGTGTCTGTTAGTGTACCTCTTCTATAAGGAGAAAAAAAAAGCCTATGCACACCAGATTTTTTAGAGGACCCTCTTCATCTATTACAATAATGAGAAAGTGCCTCTATCCAAAAAGCGCAGCATGGAGGTCACAGCCAGATAATCAGCCATTATCAGCTAATCTAACTCCTCACAGTGTCTTTTTTTCTCTCAGGAAAAGTATCTGGTAATCTTCCTGTTGGAATTTTGAATGTGTTTAAGCTACACCTTAACATGAGTATGCTAAAGAGCTAATACAAGGTATTATTATTATAGTTGTTATTGTTATTATTATTACTGTAATTTCACGTACATTTCTTCTCTCATCAGATTAAAATTCTTGAACAGGTCATTGTACCATGAAGTTAGAAATAAACATAACCCTGCCCTGTGCTCAGAGCGTGACAATGAACACACCACACCAGAAAGTACAGTTCCATTAGAAAGGCAGAGAGTGTAGATGAGCAGCAGAGATAGTGCAGGATTTTGCCTTTTTTGCTGTTACTTTATGTATGAGATTCTGCAAATGCATTCAGAAACAGATTCTTTTCCAAACAATTTTCCTGCAAATATTTCTCATTTCAATGGTCTAAGTTAGTTTAGCCTAAAAAATATTCAGAGTCTCTGAAATGCAAGGCCCCTACAGAATCTGAATCACATGTACACTAATTAAGCGCACAGTAACAGTAGGACATTTATCTAGTAGAATATATTAAATATGTACAGCAACTTGTTCAGAAAATTTTTTTTATGACTAAATTCACAGTTGCCAAAAGTGACTCAGTGCTTCACCATGTTGCTCTTTCTAACACTTTTTATTGCTTTTAAGAAAAGCACTATGAGGCACCAGGTTAATATAATTGTTTGCGACATTCATTACTTCACAATGGCTGTCCAATTATTTTAATAAATTAATTTAAATAAATTAGCTCCAGAACCAGCCTTGCGCATGCCAGATTTTTATTGGCAGAAAATTTTTACAAGCAAGTTACAGAGCTTTATGAT